ATGCAGAAAAATCAAATAAAACTGCTGAAGAAAAGAAAAAAAGATTAAATGCAAAAAGTTCTGCAAAATCTACATAGTATAGAAATCTAAAAGAAAATCAAGCAGAATCTTATGCAGGACCTTCAAAAAGAACAAGGTCCCAAACAGAAACAAATTTACCAGTTTCAACTAGAACAAGAACAAGAAAAAAAGAAAGCAAAAAAACTGTTAGATTAAGACAACAAAGATTTAGAGCTAAAATAATACTAGCACAAAAAGCAGAAAGAAGAAAAATAGAAGGAGATAGGAGAAAAAGAAAATATAAAGAGAAGAGAGAAGAGGAAATTGGACAATTTTATAGAAAAGGATTTTGTAGTTTAGATAAACATTTTGATAAGAGAGTAGAAGAGGAGAAGGATGTAGAATATGGGAGGCATAGAATAGGGACAATGAACATTATTTGTGATAAATATTTAGCTTTAAAATAGAAAAGGGAAACTAAAAGGTTTTGCTGTTTAGATGGAAAAATCCAATTAGCACCACTTAGACCACCACCTGATTCAATTTTTAAGTTACTTATTACAAAAGATCCAATTACTGAACAACCTTATGTTAACAAAATAAGGGCATATAATCAAGTATTTGTCTTTATATCAATTTACAAACTTGAATCCAAAATATACTACTGCTAAAAAGGTGGTTTATACATATAAAATTCAGGGACAACATTTTCATCACATGGTTCTTTTATGCCTAAAAGTATTGGAGAAAAAGATCCTAATCCAAAAATTGCTCAAATATATTTTTATAATAGAATGAACTTTGATAAACAAATTGAAAGACAAAATGAAATAATGGAGTCATCATTGAGTTCTGATATGTTAAGAGAACTACAGTAGGATTTGTTTTATAAAAATCTTTTTATTTAAATATTTGTATCTGCAAAAAATATAGAAAGAGAACAAAACTATGAGATATTAAATATAGTAATTTATAATACTCATGTCAAGGATATGAGAAACTATAATATACCAGCATGTTCAGAAATAGCTGCATTATATAGTTTGAATCCAACACCATCAAATAGAGATATTCTTATTAAAAGATATGATAATAAATTTGTAAGAATATCAGAAATGCATAGTGCATATGATTCTTTACAATATCCTTTATTATTTCTATATAGAGAATATAGTTGGCACAAAGAAATATTAAGAGCAAATATTAAAGAAACAAGTATTGAAGAAATTGTTGAAGAAATTGGTGAAGAAACTATTGAAGAAATTGTTGAAGAAACTATGGAAGATATTGTTGAAGAAACTATAGAAGATATTGCAAAAATTGCAATAGCTATAGAATCCACAGATATTGCAGAAGAAGAACAGATTGTAGAACAATTTGATATTGATAATAATTTATATTTAAAATATATAAATGACCAACTTATCAAGTATCATCAAGAAAATTTAAAACAACCTGATATTACTGAATTACAAAAAA